GCCTTTGGCAGTTCTCTAGTGTGTGTGTGTGTGTATGCAAGTGTATATGTATATGTATATGTATATGTATATGTATATATATGTATATGTAGACAAATCTGATGATAACTTTGATATTTTAATTCTCTAAACTTATAAATAAGCATTCTTTGTTGTCTGAACTATATTCGTATCTGTAACTCTGTGCACGTATATATACTTCAAAAACACACAAGAAGTATATAATAGTCTTATAATATTTTACTAGCGTTCTTCTTACATTTTAGGAGGCCATGGGCCCATGGCTATTCGGAAATTTAAACATCGTGTCAAAACCAAATTTGAAGCCAATGCGGTCATCCTCTAATAAATTAACATACGATCCGATTTAAAAAGTCTAATAATCAATCCGCGACTTCCTGAGAACTCAAATGCGAACCAATGATAGTCCTACTGTTTCAAGCGCCACTACCATCAGGCACTGACTTTCACGAGCCACTACTATCAGGCACTTAATTGTGAACTGCCACTTCTAGAAAAGGGCTTCGATAATCAAAGACCACTATGTACGTGAAGGCCCTGCGATTTGAAGAGCCATTAGTATTACGCCCTGCCTTTTTATAAGACGAGCCACTACTAGTCTCATCAGGCCCTGACTTTTGTTCTGAGACCTAAATACGTACAGGAGGCATATTTGATCCTTATTTTTAGAGAAATAAAAACAAATCCCGGCTTCACAAAAAAGTTGCTAAAAATAGAACTTTTTATAGGTCTGTTGTATATTCCCTATTTAATTAGGTTTGTATTTGGCGGGAAAGGTATTGTGATGACGATTCATATTTCATACAAAATCAATTTTTTAAATAAAAACTCCTCTCGTCTGTACATATATTTGTGTAAAGTTGGGTCGTGCTTCCTTCAGATCCATTCTTGTACAACACAATCAGCGTAAATCAGACATAGCAACATGCACGATATGTATTTATTCATTCCCGTTGAATGAGTATATGGCCGCGCCCTGAAAAGTGACGAAGGCGTGAATATCACATATGTATTTGGAAATTAACTCTTTTTTGGGCCTGTGTGAATCAGCTTCGCAATACTATCACAATGTCGTCTGCGTCTCGAGCTCTCATCAGAGCCCTCGCACGCTCAGTGAAGGATGGTATATTCCAGGAAAGCGTATACGAAGGATTAGCGAACGCACGCGCTCTGAATGTCTCATCAGAAAAACTCTTAGCAGATGTACGCGCCACTTGTGGATTAGCGGACACGCGTAACACTAATGCAATACCTGGTGCTAGTGGTAGCAGCCTGAATATGAACATGAACATGAACATGAACATGAATATGAACCTTAATTTGGGTGGGGGTTCAACGGGTGTGAGCGAGAAGGGCTGGGATTTGGGTCTGCAGGAGAAGCAGATGCTTGTGCTGGTCAAGTACCTGCATCGCTTGTTAGAGGTCTTTGAGCCGGTATGTGATTGCCATATGTATACATCCATGTCACATGTCTTGATACCGTGTTGTCAACTGTATTCATCCAGGTATGCTTCATCAAGATTATTTATGTGGGATTTAGATGCTCTTGTTGGTCAAATACCTGTGCCGTTTATTGAAGCCCTTTGAGCCGGTATATGAGTGCCTCAAGTATATATCAACGTTTACAACCATGTATACATCTATCTATGTATCGTTGAGATGATGCATGCGCGCATTAGTGTTCTGGTCACGTATCTCTATCGCTTGTTGGAGGTCTTTGAGCCAGTTTTTACTTGCCACATGTGCGCATACACGTATGGTCCAGGTTATATACGTGCATGTGAGTGCATTGGAACACAGCGATGACCTTCGTGCTTGATTGGTAGCCGATCAAATTCTGCACGCCATATCAAACTACGAGAGCTCGCAAACTAGGTTTATTGTGTTTTATTCAATGTATACGTGCAGTAATGTTTTCAAGTACATATTGTCTTCGCATTATAGTCACACACGGCCCCGGTGTGTTGCAACCTTGTCATGAGGTTTGAACAGTTCATGATCTCTTAAGGCTTACAGCTGGTAAACATATAAATCATATCGGGAACAATTGCTGGAGGCATTCCAAGCTCTAGAACTTATGCATAGGGAGATGTAAAGCGCTACCATTCAATCCAAGCGGGACAATGGAAACTCTGTGTGTATTTTGTGTTTTCATGCATTCAATTCTCCCAATAAATTAGTTCATATACAGAAGCAAATTCGTCTGTTAACGCAGACATTGTAGTTTTGTCTTAATGCCCGTGGACATAAGTATATGTACATGAATATATATATATATACTTATACACATATATATAAATGTAC